CTCCTCACCCTGCCAGTAATTGCCCTGACTTACCAGGCAAGCATCATTTCCTGAAAGTCAGCGGGCCTTAGAGGAAGTAGGCGCGAGGCTGGTGACTAACCCCACATGCAAATGCAGCGGGCCTGAGAACAGCCGCCTCTTCCCTCCACCGGGGACCTGATGCTGCCGCCGCTGCGGTCATGAGGGACGCTCTCCCGGGCGGCAGCCCCCTCGCGCCTCCACCATGTCCCAGCTGCGCTTCTGGCTGCAGTTTGCGGCTCTCAACAAGGTAACCTGAGGCCAGGGAGACCCCACCTGCCGAGAGCCAGAGTTGTAGGACAAGTTGAGAGCGGCTGGACAGGTCGGGCCACCTGTGGGGACAGCCACCGGGAGGGTCGCCAGGGAGCTCCGCGGTGTCCAGGTTCTCCAGTCCCACGCTGTTTTTTCTTTTCTTTTTGTGGGCAGTAAAAGGGAATCTACCGGGCTTTTCTGATGCAGAGACTTGGGCTGTCGGCAGCTGGGGGTGACTTGGGGGTCAGGGGTATGGGAGGAAGGGGCTTGCACGCAGGGCTTGTGGCTGGGCTGGTGGCTGGGTCTGCCGTGAGCCCTGCCTTCTGCAACTTGGCCATAGAAGCACGGTGCCCTAGCTTTGGGTGGGTGTCCCCTGCCCCCATGCCCTGGTGTGGGACTCAAATCATACCCTGGTAGGCCAGGGTGGGGCACAATTTGAGACTCACTCTGACAGGACAGGCAGGGACAGGTCCCCATCGTTCCTCAGGGCTCCCTGTGAGTCCATCCATAGCAGGGGACAGCACCAACACCCGTCTCTGGGGGGCTCTTCTGGGCCCAGCTTCCTGGGCCGGGATGGGGGTGTGTCTTCCTGCTCTGGTGTCCCCACTGGAGCCGATGGGGGTACAGGGGGGCAGGACCAGTACTGCTGGCACTCCCCACCCACTCAAGTCTCCCCAAAATGCTGCAGAGATCACAACTGCAGGAGGGGCCCCAAGCCCACCCAGGTCTCCCAGGGTATGGCTAGCCCCATCCATCTGCCTCTATTCCGAGGTTCTGAGGTGTGCGGCATGCTGATATGGGCCTTGGAGGGGAACCCCAGGGAAGCAGGCAGCGGGATGAAGCATAGGCCCCTAGGAGAGCGCTCGGCGGCTGGGGAGCTGTGGGAATCGCTGTGGAGGTACCTGATGGCTGCCCGAATCTTGACTTGAACCGGGCTCTGTTGGGGAGGGGACTGCTCTCGTCCCACAGAGCCACCAGTGTGGGGCCAGGCAGGGTGTGGGCCTCCTGGAGCCTGAGAACCTTGTGTCTCTCCACCCCTGTGCCTCATACACCCATGGGGTGTGCTGCCCTGGGTGGGGACAGGACCTTGAGGGTGTGGGATGGAAGTGGTATCCACAGAGCCCAGGACAGAGCAGGACAGCTGATGTCAGGGACCCCAGGGCACCTTTAATACACTTGAGCTGGGTGCAGTGACACACACCTGTCATCCCAGCACTGTGGGAGACAGGAAGATCACAGGTTGGAGCTCACCCGGGAAACTTAGTGAGACCTTGCCTGAGGATGTAGCTCAGGGCAAAGGCTTTGAGTATTGCCTTGATCTGTAGAACAGTCATAGATCCTTGGAGAGGCTGCTCCAGTGACACAGTGTTCTCAGGGTAATATCGCACCCCAGTCAATCACAACCAGTAACCAACACGGCTGCCCTGGATCCCCAGAGGCTCCTCTGAGTCCCGACCCCCTGCTCCATGCTGTGACATCACTTGTCAAATCTCCTCGGGCTCCTTTGGGCAGAGACTGAGTCCTTGGATGTCCCGTCTGCTGCCTGGACAATGTGGAGAGCACTGGGCAGGGTTCAGGACGCCCTCCATGGTGGCTGTCTGTGGTGTCCTTCAGGCTCATCAAGGCCTGACACCCACAGGATGGGGCGCCGCTGCTGTTGGCCTCAGTCCTTGGTGAGGAGCAGGTTGGGTCTTCACTGTGAGGCGGCATCCTTTCCACACTGTGCTCTTACTGGGGTCCCCAGGGGCTGGCATTCTGCCCTGTGTCCCACCCCACAGTTGGCTCCTCGCTGGCAGATCTCAGGACTGTTGCACTCCTGCCGTTGTGTCTTTTGCTGAGGCATGGGGAAGGGACCCTGGAGGCAGGGCCGGGAGGGGTTTTGGCACAATTACCTGCCCTTACCTGGAGCCAGAGCCCCATGGGGTGAGCATGTGGCCCTTCAGAACCTCAGTTTCCCCAAGATGGACCCCCTCAGCCTGCTGAGTTGGCTGGGCCTTGCAGGAAGGTACAGGGTGCCCCTCATTCCCATCACCTGGCCCAGTGTCAGCCCCCCGCCCCTCACCCAAGACCGTTCTGTCTGGGGATTTTCCTGCTGGAGGCCTCTGAGAAGGTCTGGGCTGGCACAGCTGAGGGGCAGGGTGGGAACGGGTCCCGCCCCTGGGCTGAGGGTATTGCTGTCCGAACTTGCTCCTTGCACACCACAGGTCTGTGTGGGACCCAGGAGCTTGGGGCCCTGCCCTCGGCTTCCCGAGTACCCATCAAATCTAAGCCTTAAGCTGGTGACCTAGTCCCCCAGAGCCTCCAGGGGTGGCCTGGCCCAGCATCCAAGGGCCACACTGGGTATGCTGGTGGCTGTGGGTGGCCCTGTGTCCCATGGTTCTTGAAGGATTGGGACCTGTGGGTCTGGTAGGCCTGTCCTGCTGTCCCCAGGAGGCCCTGGGCAGACCTCAGCCTGATCCTCAGACCAGGTGGGCCTGATCTGCCTGGGCAGGCAATGCTGGCTGGTGGCTGTTACTTGGCCAGCTCAGAGTCTCAGGGTGGCTGGACAGTAGCCTGAGACCCACCTAGAAGTAGGAGCCTGGGCCTTGGGACCACCCCTGAATGTGGCACACTGCGAGGCAGCACAGCCCTGGAGACCCCAGCAGGAGAGACTGGGGCCCCTGTCCCCCATGACCTCAGGGTGTAGGGATGCCAGCCACCAGCTGAGGAGCCCAGTGTACACCAACCTGAGCCCACAGGGCCTGTGTTCCATCGCTCTGCCAACTGAGACCCAGAAAGGGCTCTACAAGGTGCCTTGCCCATACCCTGGGGGGGTCAGGAGTCCACTCTGCAGCCCCTCGGAGACCTGGCCACTCCCTGTACCAGTCTGCCTCAGCCACCCCCTTGGGGCCCCAGCCCTGCCCAGGAAATGGGGTGCAGGGCTAAGGTCACCATGTAGGGGCTCAAGCAAATAAGGATGTCACTGTTCCCCAGGACAGGCCCATGTTGCCCTGGATTCGGTCCCTTGTCTGCTAGACAGGGAAGGGTGTGTGCGCACTCTGAAAGTTGGCAGCTGCCCCGTGAGTCTCATAGGCTGGGTGCCTGACCAAGAGTGGTCAGTGATAAGTGGCCGTGTGGATGAAGGACTCTGGTCCTTTGAAGAGTCCAGTGACCCCCAAACCCCATCACCACAGCTATGCACCATCTTTTTTTTTTTTTTTCTCCTGGTACTGGGAATCAAACTCAGGACCTTGCACTTGCCAGGCAGCACAGCACCACTGAGCTCAATCCCTGGCCCTTATGCACCATCTTTTAATACTTAGTTTAGCTGGGCATGGTAATGCACTCCTATAATTGCAGCAATCTGGAGGCTGAGACAGAAGGAGCACTGTGAGTTTGAGGCCAGCCTAAGCTACCTAGCGAGTTCAAAGCCAGTCTGAACTACATGGTGAGACCCTGTCTCAAAAAACAAAAACTACGGGGCCAGAGATTTAGCTCAATGGTGGTGCTGCCTGCCACACAAGCGCAAAGTCCTCAAGTTTGATCCCTGGTACCAAAAACAAAACAAAACAACAACAACAAAAAATTAGGGCTGGGGATGTAGCTCAATGGCACTGCATCTTCTTGGCAAGTGTAAGGTCCTGAGTTCGATCCCTGATACCAGAAACAAACAAAAAACCAGCTAAAACTAAACTAACATAAAATAGTTCTAAGCCAGAGCACAGTGACACACACCTGTTGTCCTACTACTCTGGGAGGCTGAAGCAAAAGGATCACAAGTTCCAGTCCAACCTGGACAATTTAGAACTTAGTGAGATTCTGTCTCAAAATAAAATTCTTTTTTTGAAGCCAAGTCAAATACTTTTTGTTTTGTTTTGTTTTGTTTGTTTTTGAGACAGGGTCTTGCTCTGTAATTCAGGCTGGCCTCGAACTCACTATGTAGCCCAGGCTGTCCTTAAGCTTACAGCAATCCTTCTGCCTCAGCCTCCCAAGTATTTGGGGGGAAAACAAATAAACAAACAAAACCCCAAACAAACAAAAACAAGGGCTGGGGATTTAGTTCAGTGACACCGTGCTTGCCTTGCAAATGCAAGGTCCTGAGTTCGCTCCCTGGTACCAAAAAGTGTAGGTCAGTGCAAAGGCCCTAGCTTCAATTGCCAGCATTTTTAAAAAGAATAAAAGTTTTATAAATGATGCAATATACAACCTCTCTGCAGCAGGCACAGAAAGTATCCTTTCCCTAGGGTACCCTTGGCCACCCTTGCCCCTGCTGAGCTGCTCCCTGTGCCTGTCTTTGCAGACTTGGGGTCTGACTTGTTTTTTGCTTTTTGATAACTTGATTGAGATGTAATTCATATACCATATAATTCATTTGTTTAGAACACATAATTCAGTAATTTTAGTGCATTCATATCTGTGTAAGCAACAGTTTGAGAACACTTTCATTGCCCGTTTTTAGGATCCCCATGAGCCATCACCCCCATCCCATCCCCAGCCACAGTACCCACAGATCCACTTCCTGTCTCTGGAGTTGCCTGTCCTAGGCATTTCCTATCCATGGAGCTCACGCTGTGTGTCCTGTTACTGTGTGTCCCTCCCTCACTGAGCATGGAGTCCATCCATACTGGCAAGTGTCACAGCCGTGTTCCTTTTCTTGGCTGAGTAATATTCCAGAACATGGCTGAACCTCAGTGCTCATTGCCCCCAACCCTGCACACCTGGCCACTTCCTCACCAAGGCCTGTTTTCCAGGACTCCTACTTCGAAGACCTCTCCAGTGCCTCCATCTTCTCCTCATCAGTGGATTCCCTGTCAGACATTGTGGACACACCTGAATTTCTGCCAGCAGACAGCCTTAGCCAGGTGCCCACTATCTGGGATGTGAGCACTGCCTCATCCACCCATGACAAGGTTAGTGTGCAGAAACCCCAACCAGAGCCATCCCTAGGTCAGGCTGGGGCACAAGGGGGCACAGTTACTCACAGATGTATGTGCTCATGTATCCTGTGCAGCCCAGGGATGGGATCGCCTTCCTGCAGCCCTGAAAGTCCATGGCCCTCGCTGCCTCTCTGACAGATGTCTAGCCTTCCTCTGCTGGGAACCAGGTTTACCCAGTAGAGAAGCAAAAATCCATTTTTGAGCCAGGCATGGGTGAGCACACCTGTAATCCTAGCACTCTGGAGGGTGAGGCAGGAGGATCATGAGTTCAAGGCCAGCCTGGGCTACATAGCAAGACCTTGTCTCAAACTCCACAACCCCCAAAAGAGCTTTGGTTACAGATTCTTACCCCAGGCTCTTAAGCCCCCCACACACCCTGGGCAGTGTCTGGAGATGTGCTTGGCTGTAGCACTGGTGGAGCTCCTGGTATGGAGTGAGAGATGTTGCTCAGCACCCTGCAGTGCCCAGGACACCCACCCCAGAGAACAATCTCCCCCTCTTTTTTTTAATTTGGGTTGTTTGTTTTTGGTACCAGGAATCAAACTTGGGACCTTACACTTTTAAGGCGAGAGGCAGGCGGTGGCACCACTGAGCTAAATCCCGGCCCCTGTTTGTTTTTTGAGATAGGGTCTCCCTATGTAGTTCAGGCTGGGCTTGAACTCACTATGTTGCCCAGGCTGGCCTTGAATTCATAGTGATCCTCCTGCCTCAGCCTCCTGAGTGCTGGCATGACAAAAGTGTCTGCCACCCACCTGGCTAAGCCACCTAATTTCGGCATTGTTGAGGACCCCCTCCCTGACAAGGCCTTTCTAGGGCCCTCTGTCCAGAGAAGCTTCTAGGATTGGGGTGTTAGGAATATATGTGGGGAGCCCCAGGTTGGGGGTACACAGCCTTCCCCCACGCTGAGAAGGATGTACCTGGGGTCTTTCTCAGTGGTCCCCACCAAAGACAGCAGAGGTGACAGACTGGGGTTGGGTCCAGCATGTGGCCAGTGGTGGAGGAGGGATGGAGCACTGGATACTGACCCTGCCCTTCACACCTTCTTGGGGGCCACTCAGGCCTGTTCCCTGTGGAATCTGGATCCAGTAGGACACTGCCAGCCCTGCCTAGGGCCCAGCTGGACTGCACTGGATGGTGTGGGGGCATCTGAAACCCAACACTCAGAGCTGCCTATCCTGGCTAGGAACGTGACTCAGCCTTCCAGGAACTGCCACTTTGTTTGGATTTTGTTAACAACAACAACAAAAAAAGCCAGAGCAGGAGGGTTGAACATGGACCTGGAACCTTCCTGGGCCTGGCTTCCGTGCTGACCTCTTTCAAAAATCCCTGGCCGTGTTCCTAACCTTCACAAAAACAGGAGTCACGAGTGTCGGTCACCCTCTGACAGAGCCCCTGGGGAGCCCTGTCATCACATACGGTGCTGGGGGCTTCAGCTGTACCTGTCACTCCACTCTGGCAGCTCATGTGAAAAACCCACCTTGAGTGTGGGTAGGCATCCAAGGGCGGGTGCGGGTAGAAGCCACCCTCCTCTTTCTGGTTTGCTATTAAGGACTGAACCCAGGGCCTTTGCACTGAGCTATACCGCCAACCCCTTTTTATTTATTTATGTTTTTGAGACAGGGTCTCACTAGTTAGTTTAGGCTGGCCTTGAACTCACTGTGTGTAGCCCAAGCTGGCCTCAAACTCACAGTGATCCTCTTGCCTCAGCCTCCCAAGTGCTGGGATTATAGGCGTGCACCACTATGCCCAACTCCAACTCTTTTTATTAATGTATTTTTAATTTTTTTTTTTTTTTGGCCCCGGGGATTGAACTCGGGTCCTTGCACTTGCGAGGCAGGCCACCGAACCGCTGAGCTAAATCCCCGGCCTAGTATTTTTAAATTTTGAGACAGGGTCTTACTCAGTCCCTAAATTGTCCAAGCTGGGCTTGAATTTTCAGTCCTACTGTCTCAACCTCTCAAGTGGGCTCTGCCGTGCCCAGGGTTTTCTTTTAAAGCACAGGTGTATTTTAGAGTCACACAAAACCTGGTTGGACACTGCTGTGTCCTCACTATGGGTCCCTGGCCTCCCTAGCCTCAGTGCTGTGGTGTGGACATCGATGACCGTGCTGCTCAGGGGCTGGCGGAGTAGGACAGGTCCTTTCCTGCCCATCCACAGGCTCTGGATGCAGTCACTTCTCAGACCCAGGATCTGACTGTGCCTCTACACCTCAGTGGCACACAGGCTCCTTCCAGAGGCCAGGCCTGTCCTGCCTGCCAGCTCTGTGCACCCTGGCCTCCATCCCCCACCCTAATGAGAGAGGCTACCTGTCTCCCCAGCATGCACAGTGGTCTGGGGCAGTGTATCACTCTGGTCAGTGTGACAGGGCATTCTGTCCACCCGGAGGACCTGCCACCCTGGAGAACACTCAGTGGTGTGACAGGGAGCACCACAGGGCAGTAGGGAGCTCAGGAGCCCGCAGCCACTGGACACCACGTTAACCGGCCCCATGTGCAAGGCCCAGCCAGTTAAGAGGCCAGTGTCACCAGTCTAGATGGGGCTTTTACCCCACCCACCCCCAGGTTCCCCATGTCCCTGCGGGCCCAGCCCCAGCAGGTCCTGCAAAGCCTCCCCCTAGGCGCTCTGGCTGGACTCGGGGGAGGGCACTGCCATCTGTCAGAATTACCAAGCACCTTCCCACCTTGGCTGATGTCCTGCCCTCCCCTCAGCTGTTCCTGCCCAGTGGACCATTCCCAGGCCTTGAGGACCCTGTGACCTCCTTGCCCAGCACCTCCCTTCTCGTCAGCTACCAGGTCAGCCTGGTCCCCTGGCTTGGTCCCATCCCCAGCCTGTGTGCCCTGGAGCCTAGGAGAGGGCTTGGAAGCTGGGTACCTCCAGCATGCCAGGCCCTGGGTACCCAGAAGCTGGGAGCACCCACTTTACAGATGAGGAAAACAAAGTCCCAGGGAGGCTTCCACGGGTCACTGGGCCACCACCACCTGTGAGGAGCGCCAGGTCAACGCAGGGCAGGACTGACACCTGGATTTCTGCCTCCTTGCAGTCCCAAAGCCAGCCTGAGGATGAGGTGGAGGACGAGGAGGAGGAAGAGGCGGAAGAGCTGGGCCACGCAGAGACCTATGCTGACTATGTGCCCTCCAAGTGTGAGTGGCCCAGGCTGGCAGGGATATGTTCAGACTCCCTCCCTATCCTGCAGATGAGACCCCCCCAGGAGACTCCCCACCCAAGAGTCATTGAGGACATGGGGTCCCCAGGTCCCTGGGGTCGGGTTCTTCCATCAGCAAAGCTGAGGTCTGCAGATACAGCAAAAGCAGCAGAATGGCCCACTCTGTCCCTTCTTGGAGACCTGGCCACCCCTAGACCCTGACTTCACCCTCTGCCTCTCCAGCCAAGATTGGCAAGCAGCATCCGGACCGTGTGGTGGAGACCAGCACTCTGTCCAGTGTGCCCCCACCGGACATTACCTACATCCTTGCATTGCCCACCTCAGACAGTGCAGTTCTGTCTGCCCTACAGCTGGAGGCCATCACCTACGCCTGCCAGGTGACCTGCCCCCACCCCACCCGTGTCCTGTCCCCACCAGGCTGGGGGTTGCTGGGGAAGCGGCAGCCCAGGCCTGACTGACCCCTCTGGCCGCAGCAACACGAGGTCCTGCTGCCCAGTGGTCAGCGCGCGGGCTTCCTCATCGGTGATGGGGCCGGTGTGGGCAAGGGCCGCACGGTGGCCGGTATCATTGTAGAGAACTACATACGCGGCAGGAAGAAGGCCCTGTGGTGAGCTACCCCACGGTGTGGGGGTCGGGAGCTGGGCAGGGAGTCGGGGGTAGGGCCCCCCTGACCCAGCTGCTGCCCCCAGGTTCAGTGTCTCCAACGACCTCAAGTACGATGCAGAGCGTGACCTACGGGACATTGAGGCCCCGGGCATCGCAGTGCATGCGCTGAGCAAGGTAGGTGGGCAGGAGGGCACCGGCCCTGCTCTGCCCAGTTCTTAATCCACGGAGAAACTGAGACCCCCACGCCTGCCCTGTGTCTACAGATCAAGTACGGCGACAACACTACCTCAGAGGGCGTCCTCTTCGCCACTTACTCAGCCCTGATTGGGGAGAGCCAGGCAGGCGGGCAGCACCGCACGCGTCTGCGGCAGATCATCCAGTGGTGCGGAGAAGCCTTCGATGGCGTCGTATCCTGCAGGCTTGGGCGGGCAGGGGCGGGGCCTGGGTGGGCGTGGCTTGCAGGGTGGGGTATAACCCCCCACGATGAGGGTGGGGAGGGGCCGGGCACAGAGGGGCGGGGCCAACCTTCCTACAGTGGTGGAGATCCCCAATGCAGCCCTGGTTCTGAATTCTCACCACGGGCCCAACCCAAGTTAGCTTTGTCCCCCAATCCTGCTAGTCTGGCTCTAGCAAGCCTGACAGCAACTATTCAGCCATGGTGTTTGCAGTGAAGTTTTCGGAGCAGGTGGCTGCTGTGTGCCCTGGAGGCAGGAAGTCTCCCCCACCCCCGAGTTGGGGGGCCTGTGTGTGGGCAGGCAGCCATCTATGCAGTATCTGCCCCAGGGGTATTGGGGACACAGACCCACGGGTTCCCCACAGGGGCACCGCTGTGGCAGAAAGACCAGCAGGCTTCTTCAATTTTTTTGTGGGGGGTGGTACTGGGGATTGAACCCAGGACCTTCTGCTTGTGAGGCAGTTGCAGTTCCACTGAGAGCTAAATCCCCGGCCCTTATTCTTAAAACTTTTAAATGACCTGCTTTATGTACAAAATTGTAGTTTTTGCTTTTGGTTTTTGTACTAGAGAATGAACCCAGACCTTTCATACTGAGCTACACCCTCAGTCTTTTTTATGTTTTATATGGAAATAAGGTCTCCTTAAGTTGCCCACACTGGGCTCCAACTCACAATCCTCCTGCCTTAGCTGCCCAGAGTGCTAGGATTACCAAATCCTGCTTACTCTCTTCCCGTCTTTGCCCGTGTGAGGGGGAACGGGTCTCCCTGCCACGGCACTCTTTTCCCCTAGTTCTTCGCTTCCCCTGCCCCTCAGAACATAACTTATCTGCGTGCAGGTGCACATGCGTGCAGGTATCTCCCGCGGTGCCCTGGGCTGGCTGAGCACCCTGTGCTCACTCACATGCAGTTCCTGGGCCCATTCTCCTGTGCCAGGCTGCCTGGCCCCCACTCAGGTTCTGTTCTGTCACCCCATAGTGACTTGACTTGCGTTGTGACCCCACGTTATAAATAGCCTCACTACCTCCTCCCGCATCCCCAGAAGTGGGTGACTGGGCCCAGATGGGTGTTCTTCCTGAGCCCTGGGCAAGGACAGATAGGAGGAAAGATGTTGGCCTGTGTGTGTCATCCCCAGGAGGGCGCCTGGAGCACGGAGCGCAGGATATGGTAGTGCACGCCTCTGATCCCAGCGTTTTGGAGGCTGAGGCAGAAGGATCATGAGCTGGACCTACATAACTGAAATCAAAACAAAACAAAATAAGAATGTGCAGGTCAGGGCCAGGGCTTTGGCTCAGTGGGTCCACCGCCTGCCTCACAAACGCAAGGGCCAGAGTTCAATCCCTGGTACCAAAATAAAACAAAGAATGTGCAGGTCAGATCTGTGGTGAGACACTGGAGGCTGCTGGAGTGTCCCCCGTCCCCAGATGGCTGCCCAATAGTCTTACAGAAAATACCAACTTTTCACTCTTGGCAAGCTGTGTGCTTGGCAACATGTTCGAGTTTTTAACTATTTTCACCCTTTTCCTCAACCCTTAGCACATATATACTTCTCTGTAATTTGTTTCTTTCTCACTCTTGCTTTTTTTTTTTTTTTTTTTTAATGCGGGCAGTTGAATTCAGGGCCTTGTCACTGAGCGATATCCCCAACCCATTTTTATTTTTATTTTTTATTTAAGACAGGGTCTAGGTAAGGCAAGTAAGTTGCTCAGGCTGGGCTCAAATTTGTGATTCTTCTGCCTCAACCTCCCAGAGTGATGAGATCATAGGCTCTTCTCCTTAACATATTAACATCTTCGGTTCTTTTCTCAATGTTTTACAAAGGGATCACAGTAGGCCTCCCATGTAGTTTCAGGAAATGTAATCAAGATCCCAAGCACGCATTACTCACTACTCCGATGCCGACATCCCGTAACAAGCGAGTACTGTTGCAGCAGGGGTATGGAGTTCGCCCACAGTCCCCCCATGCCGTGGGGCTCCCCTTCTTCATGCAGCTCCGTGTGTCTGTATCTAGGCTATTAGGCTATTACTGTTTTGTGTACTTGTTTGTACAATGCTAAGGATGGAACCCAGAGCCTCTGGCATAGTAGGCAAGAACTTACCACTTAGCCCCAAGGCTGTTCTTTTTTTTTCTTTTATTTTTTACACCGGAGATCAATCTCAGGACCTTGTGTTTGCCAGGCAGGCATGGTACCACTGAGCTACATCCCCAGCCCTCCCAAGGCTGTTCTTAATGCTTCATGAAGCCACCAAACCCTGTCACACAGCAGTTATGAGGTGGGCCACTCCCCAGGTGACAGATCCCTCTGGCGTGACATTCAGTTTCCAGTGCTCAAGGGCACCACTCCTGTGAAACATTCCTTAACTCACGCCCACCCCAGATTGTGTTTGATGAGTGCCACAAAGCCAAGAACGCCAGCTCCACTAAGATGGGCAAGGCTGTGCTGGACCTGCAGAACAAGCTGCCCCTGGCCAGGGTGGTCTACGCCAGTGCCACAGGTGGGGGTTTGTAGGGGCTCTGAGGGCAGCATCCACCATCGATGCCTACCTCCTGCAGTGGGGTATCCTGGGTTGCATGAGTAGCATCCATTATTGATGCTTGCCTGGGCAGAGCCAGGAGCAGCTATATCGTATGAGCTGCCTGCATCCTGCTGCTTTTCAGGGCCTGAGCAAAGACAAGCTGAGTTGTTCAGACCCCATCATGGATGTCCCCTCTGCCAGCTGGCTCTGGCCAACCTCAGCAGATGTTTCCTGGCCTGTCTGCCTTACCCAGAGCTTCAGGTCTCCCCATGTAGCCACCCCCCCACAAGTCCTGGGGTTGCACCGAAGCTCTCTTCATCCTGTACAACTGTCACCTCCTGGCTGAGTCAGGAAGAGCTGACAGCAGCCCTCTACTCCTGCTGCCCAGGTGCCTCTGAGCCCAGGAACATGATCTACATGAGCCGCCTCGGCATCTGGGGTGAGGGCACGCCCTTCCGGACATTTGAGGAGTTTCTACACAACATTGAGAAGAGGTGAGCCCCCCCGCAGCAGTAGGAGTCACTGAAGCAGCGCCTTCCCTTGGGTAGCCACAAGGCCTGTGCTGTCTGCACGCTGTGCCCCTGCCTCTTTCTCATGCCGAAGTTCCCCCTTCCTGGGAGCCACTCTACCCTTTGCAGAACCCAGTGCTCAGGAGGCTGTGCTCATTTGCAGGGGTGTGGGCGCCATGGAGATTGTGGCCATGGACATGAAGGTCAGCGGCATGTACATTGCACGCCAGCTCAGTTTCTCTGGAGTCACCTTCCGTATCGAGGAGATCCCGCTACCCCCAGACTTTGAGCGAGTTTACAACCGGGCAGCGCTGCTGGTGAGCTAGGGGCCTCTCTGTGGGCACACATGACAGAGGTCTACCCTAGGGAGCCCTGGGGGCTTCCCTAGACCTCTGTGTTGCTCACAGTCACACCTGTTGTCTCCAAGGATCTTGCCTTTAAATCACCACAGATGCTTGTCATAGTACTCTTTTTTTTCAGCTTTAATTGAGTTTCTTGGTACATTTTAGGGATACAGTACATTTACATTCATTGTTGGGATCTTGTACCTCTACATGACAGGTCTTGCCTCTCATTTTTTCCCCTTGTATAGTACTCTTAAGTCGTCCCTTGTGGTGGCGCGTGACTGCCATCCCAGATCGTGAGAGTCTAAGGCAGGAGGCTCTCAAGTTCACACTCAACCTGGACTACTTAATGACTTAGTGAGACCCTGTCTCAGCACAGAAAATAAAAAGGGTTGAGGGCCAGGGATTTACCTCAGTGGTGCTGCTGCCTGCCTCGTCAAGAGCAAGGCCCTGAGTTCGATCCCCAGTACCAAAAATAAATAAATAAAAAGGGTTGAGGGTGTATTTCAGTGTGAAGGCCCTGGGTTCAGTCCCTAGCACCGTTAAAAAAAAAAGTAGGAAGCCACCCTGTCCTGGCATAGTTGTGAGCAGGATTCCAGTGTGCCTCTCTTGTCCTGTGTCCCAGATTCTTCTTATGTGACTGATATAGTGGGCATCAGCCTAAACCCTTGCCCTCCCTTCCCAGGCCTCACAAGCACTTCACCCCATGTCCTGACCCAGACCCAGTGGCTTTGCTCAGTGTTACTGTCACTGCAGGTCATGTTTATACCAGTTCCTACTTCCTCGTTTGTTCAGTGCCCAGGATGGAACCCAGGCAGGTCATGAGTGCCCTGAGCCATACCCAGCCATGCCCTGGTTCTTGCTGCTACTGCTAGGCTCTTTGTAAAATCTCTTCCCACCTCATAGCCTGGCTGCCTGGGACCCCTTCCTTCCCCTGGCCTGGCCTCAGCTGGCATCTTGTCCTTGCAGTGGGCTGAGGCCCTGAGCGTGTTCCAGCAGGCAGCTGACTGGATTGGCCTGGAGTCGCGCAAGTCCCTGTGGGGCCAGTTCTGGTCAGCCCACCAGCGCTTCTTCAAGTACCTGTGCATTGCTGCCAAAGTGCACCGACTGGTGGAGCTGGCCCTTGAGGAGCTGGCCCACAACAAGGTAAGCAGGGTCACACTTCCGTCCTCCCAAGCACAGGGGAATTTAGTGCATGGTCAGGACTCCAAGGAAGGACGTCAGGGTGGAAGGGCAGAGCAGAGCAAAGCTGCTTACTTCAAAGTGGCCAACAAGCAGAGCAGGGGACAGAGCCAGGCATGGTGACACACACTTGTAATTCCAGCATTTGGGAGGCTGAGGCAGGATGATCACTAGGAGTTGGAGGATCACTGGGAGTTCAAGGCCAGGCTGGGCTACAAAGTGAGACCCTGTTTCAAAAACCAAAACAAACAAAAAAGTGAGGAAACAGACATAGACCCCACGGTCTTGTCTCTGACCCACGAGGACACACCTAGGAGCCTGCTTTACAGAACTGCAAGGTGCTTCTTAGTCCAGTGAAGCTGACACATCAGAATTCGTGGTCACAGTGGGGACCCTGGCACCCACGTCCACAGCCTCACGCAGGCCGAGTGTGGTAGCCATGGTGGGCAGGCCAGCTGGGGTCTCCACAAGAAAAGACAGGCCGTGGCTGGGGCAGGAGGTGGCCATCAGTGGGCTGCGTTCCCTACGTGAGATTGTGAACTCACGGAGTGTGGGTGGGTGGGAAACATGGTCACCAGCACCACCTCAGAGCGACCCATCTCCGCAGTGTGTGGTCATTGGGCTGCAGTCCACGGGCGAGGCGCGAACACGGGAGGTGCTGGACGAGAACGAGGGGCGCCTCGACTGCTTTGTTTCGGCCGCTGAGTGAGTGACTGCACAGGGTGGATGGAGGGCAGGGAGTCGGAGCCACCCCTCACTGTGGGACCTGGCAGCCAAGGGGAGCCTCAGAGACCTTAAACTAAAGCAGTGACCCTGGCTTGGGCATTGCAGGCAGGACCCATTAGGTTCTTCCTGGTCTCAGCAGCAGGCTGCAGGGAGTCTGACTCTAGCTGGGGTGGCACCGGGTCAATAGGAGTCCGTGGCTTTTTAGGACTGGCCATTCTGCCCTCCCACCCAGCCCCAGGGAGGGTCTTAGCACCTTCCTGGCTCCTTCTCAGTGCTGGGCCTCTCTTGCACTCCCTGTCCTTAGCCATGGGGGCGTGGCGCGGGCAGTGGATCTGGCCACCCTCATTCCTAGGAGGCCATCAGCTGTGTGGGCAGAGCTGGGTGCAGGGCAGGCAGGACATAGAGCTCAGAGGTGTGCCCCAGCCAGGCCCTGCCACAGTCCCCTTTGTTCCAGCCAGGCACGATGGCCTATGTCTGTCATCCCAGCACCCTGGGAGGCTGAGGCAGGAGAATTAAAAGTTGGCACCCAGCCTGAGCAACTTGGTGATTTAGCAAGACCTATCTCAAAAAAATAAAAAATAGGGGTGGGGGTTTATCCCAGTGGATCCACCACCTGCCTCGCAAGCACAAGGTCCCAAGTTCAATCCCTGTACTGAAAAAAAACAAAAATAATAATAGAATGGACTGGGGATGGAACTCATTGCCGAAGGCCCTGGGTTCCATCCCCAGTACCACAAGAATGAAAAGCTGTATGCCCTCTGGGATAGCAGGAGCAGCTGCTGCAGGGGCACAAGCTATCTTCTCTTTCCAGAGGTGTCTTCCTGTCACTGATCCAGAAGCACTTTCCTTCCACCAAAAGGAAGCGGGACAGAGGAGCTGGCAGTAAGAGGAGGCGTAAGTCTCTGCCACTACTCTCTGCTTTCTACGCAGCACCCCAGGCTACCCCCTGTACCCTTGCTCCCGCCCCATAAGGATTCAGCCTCCTCCATGCCAGCCAGTCAGGGTGCTGCTACCTAGGCCTCCAGGGCTGCCCCACTGGGCACAAGAAATATGGGTTGGTCCCCAGCATCAGCCCTACCCACAGCCTCCAGCCTTGCACCCAGCAGGCAGGCAAGGGACCTTCACCCCCACACAGGCCAGCACCTCGCAGATGAAATTGGGCCCCAGACTCATTGGTGTGTGGACTGGGCTGGGGTCCCGCAAAAAGTGTCCCCAAGGCTGGTCTGTCACAGCACACAGTGGGAAGTTAGGCTCACAAGCTGAGGGACTCACTTAGGACCACACAAACAAGCCTCCTGTCTTCCCCAGGCCAGGCCTTGAGGGCACACAGCTTTTCCAAGAGGGAAGCCCAAGAAAGTGGCCAAAAGCTGCCTGAAGCCACAATGCCATTCACAGCAGATGGATGCAGGACTCAGGGAGTCGGGTGCAGTAGTGCACGACACCTGCAGTTCTAGCACTCTGGGAAGCTGAGGCAGGAAGATCACAAATGCAAGCTCAGCTTGGGCAGTCTAGTGACTTAGCAAGCCATTGTCCCAAAACAGAGGGCTGGGGATGCAGCTCTAGTACTAAAGTAGGCGGGGGTGGCTCTGGGATGAGCCTGGCAGGCCCAGTGTGGGGACAGGTCCCCCTAGGAGCCCCTTCCCCGGTAGGAGGCTGAGCAGCTCCCACCTCAGCACCTGCAGGCCTCTCTGTCCCTTCAGAGCTGCTGCCGCAGCTCCCCTGTCCCTCCCACTCGCATCCCTTCTGCCTGTCACTGGCCACTGTCCCCGCCCTGCTGACCCTGGTTACTCCTACCTTTGCAGGGCGACCTCGAGGCCGAGGGACCAAAGTACCCAGACTGGCACTTGAGGGGACAGGCGTGATCCGCATCAGTGATGACAGCAGCACCGAGTCAGACGCTGGCCTGGACAGTGACTTCAACTCTTCCCCTGAGTCCCTGGTAGATGATGATGTGGTCATCGTGGAGACCCCCGGGCATCCTGTGGACGACCGGGGTGAGAGCCCAGCCTCTGGGTCGGGTGGCACTGGATCCCTGGGTCCTCATCCTCAGTTATGCCCACTTTTTTTCTTTTTATTGAGTTTATTGGTACATTCTAGGTATGCAGTACAGTTACATTCATTATTGGGATCTTGTACCTTTACTTGACAGGTCTTGGTTCTCATTTTTTCCCATATGCCCACTTTATAGAAGAGGAAAGTGACACTCAGAGAGGCAAGGTCAGGGCTACGCCCCTGATCAGAGGTGGGGCAGTTCAGAACTTGAATCCCTGTGGTCTTGAGGAAAGCACTGAAGGAACGCAGCTCCCACAGTAGGCCTGACCTTTTGCCCAACTCCCGCAGGCCCTCTGTGCCTCCCACAGAGGGACCTACACGGCCCCGCTGCCCTGGAGCGTGTGGAGCGGCTGAAGCAGGACCTTCTGGCCAAGGTGCGGGCTCTGGGCCGAGAGCTGCCAGTCAACACCCTGGACCAGCTCATCGACCAGCTCGGAGGCCCTGAGCATGTGGCCGAGGTGAGCACAGGTCACCTGCTGGCTCCAGCAGCCCCTGCTGGTCACCCCCAGAGTGTCACGAGTTTATAGCAGAGTTGTAGAGGTTGGGCTGCCTTGGGAGGTTTTCCTGGCTCAGGCTCCAGAACCCCCCAGACTCCCAGCCTGGCCTGCCCAAGCAAGGTCTCACCCATACGCGTCCCCAAGATCCCCAGAGGTAGGACTTGGACCCTGACCTTGCATCCAGCACCCCTGTGCGGCCCAGCCCCCGGGCAGCCACCTCACTGACAGCTGACTCTGGCCACAGATGACGGGCAGGAAAGGCCGTGTCGTGTCCAGGCCCAATGGGACAGTGACCTTCGAGTCTCGGGCAGAGCAGGGCCTGTCCATCGACCACGTGAACCTCCGGGAGAAGCAGCGGTTCATGAGCGGCGAGAAGGTGGGGCCCAGCATGCGTTGCCAGGGACTCTGGGGGGCCCCAGCATCCTCTGCAAGTGTCCGTGATGTGTGTCCATGCATGTGCACATGTGTCTAGCAGTGCCAGCATGGAGGTGATGCCCAGGGTCTCCCTGGCCTCTGGGTGTCCTCTGTGCATGTCATATCGTCCTGGGGGTGCAGTGCCAGGTGGGGCAGGTCCACGCCCCACTGACCATACTCTCCTGCCTGCCCTCAGCTCGTGGCCATCATCTCTGAGGCCTCCAGCTCCGGCGTCTCCTTGCAAGCTGACCGCCGTGTGCAGAACCAGCGCCGCCGCGTGCACATGACACTCGAGCTGCCCTGGAGTGCCGACCGTGCCATCCAGCAGTTTGGTGAGTGCCACTGTGCCCTGCCACCCACTTCCCTGGCTCCCCAACTCTGGGCCACCCCTGAGCCCCTGTCTTCCCTCAGGACGTACGCACCGCTCCAACCAAGTGTCGGCACCCGAGTACATCTTCCTCATCTCCGAGCTGGCTGGGGAGAGGCGCTTCGCCTCCATTGTCGCCAAACGGCTGGAGAGCCTGGTGAGCTGCAGGCTAGGAGGGTCCCCATCGTGGGGCGGGGGCCGGGCAGCATCCCAACAGCAACCCCGCCCCTTACAGGGTGCCCTGACACATGGGGACCGCCGCGCCACCGAATCCCGGGACCTCAGCAAATACAACTTTGAGAACAAGGTGCCTGGGGGTGGGCAGGGGCAGGGGCAGGGGGGCAGAAGTCTCCACCTGGCAGGCCCCCACTCACTCTCCCTCCCCCCAGTATGGCACGCGTGCCCTCAGCTGCGTCCTCAACACCATCATGAGCCAGACAGAAAACAAAGTGCCGCTGCCCCAGGGCTACCCTGGAGGGGATGCCGTCTTCTTCCGGGGTGAGCTGGAGGGCACATGGGGGTATATCTGGGGGGCAGCACAGCAGAGCAGCAGATTGGAGAGTTGGGGGCACATGAATTTGTAAACTGGGGTCCTGTTGAAAGACTCTTCTGTAGCTGAGTGTGATGGTATGCATCGAATCCCAGCATTCTAGGAGGCTGAGGCAGGAGGATCACCAGGTTCAAGCCCAGTCTGGGCAAGTGCCTTTAGGGAGACCTGGTCTCAGTGAAAAACAAAGGGCTTGGAGCCTCGCAAGTACAAGGTTCTGCATTCTATCCTGGTACCCAAAATAAGGAAAAAGGGAGGAAGGGCTGGGGGTGTGGCTCCATGTGAAGGCCCTGAATTCAATCCCCAGTACTGAAAAAGAAAGACCCCCCCAACACACACACACATACACACACACGCACGGGACTGTGGACGGCAAAGGGAGCTGAGCATGTTGGCCTCCAGTGGTCCTGAGGAGGGTTCCTGGCTGAGGTGTGTGTGGTCTGAACTTATTCCCAAGGACTCTGGTCTCACTTCGGTAGTTAGAATAAAGGGGTCTCTTCCCTGTCACCAGAAGCCCTGGCCCCAGGGCTCAGCATCAGCCCCCTACAAGGATGTCCCTGGTGCTAGGTAGAGCCAGGGCAGATGGGGAAGGAGGGAGGTACCTCTAGCAGGCCTAGGGGGTTCTGGGGGTTCTGGGGCTCAGAAGCGGCCCTCTCCACACAGACATGAAGCAGGGCCTGCTGTCGGTTGGCATCGGTGGGCGGGAGTCTCGGTCCGGCGGGCTGGATATGGAGAAGGGTGAGTCCCATGGACCCAGGCATGGGGGTGTGGGCAGTGGGCCTCCTGCCACGGTCTGAGACATGGTCCCTGCCACCCCCAGACTGCTCTATCACCAAGTTCCTGAACCGCATTCTGGGGCTGGAGGTCCACAAGCAGAATGCTCTGTTCCAGTACTTCTCGGACACCTTCGACCACCTCATCGAGATGGACAAGAAGGAGGGCAGATATGACATGGGCATCCTGGGTGAGCCACGGGCATGTGTGGGCAGTCTGGGATTGTGCTTTATCTTAAGCAAACCAGCGACCCAAGCACACACTCCTTACACCAGCGTCTATAAACGCCTTCTGATGAGGTCCTGTTCTTAGTTTTGCTGGGCTGGACAGCCTCTGGCATTACCGAATGACTAGTGTTGACAATGAGTACATGTGGAGGAGCACCAATAAAACTTTATTTGTACAATTTGTACGCTGGACATAGTGGCACACACCTGTGATCCCTGCACCCTAGGATGCTAAAACAAGAGGATTGCAAACTTTTTATGCCCTGTCTTGGCAACTTAGTGATTTAACAAGATTCTGTTTTGAAATCAAAATTTAAAAAGGGCTGGAGATGTAGCTCAGTGGGAAGGTCCTGCGTTCAATCCCCAGTATGACTAAAAAAACAACTTGGGCCGGGGATTTAGCTCATTGGCACCAAGCCTGCCTTGCAAGTGCAAGGTCCTGAATTCAATCCCTGGTACTAAAAAAATAAGTAAGTAAAAAGTATCATTTTTATTTATAAAATCAAACCAAGCAGGATCACTCATACCTGTTATACCAGCTACTTAGGGGGCTGAGGCAAGATTGCTAGCTGGAGACCAGCTTGGATTTTTTTGTTGTTGTTTGGGTACTAGGGATTGAGCTCAGGACCTTGCACTTAATGAGTCAGCCTCAGTGCCTTTGAGCTTAATCCCTAGTCCTCACAACCAGCTTGGACAAGTTCGTGAGACACTTTCAAAATAAAAAATGAAAAGGGCTGGGGTTTAACTAGGTGTTGAGCACTTGCCTAGAATATGTGGGGTCCTGGGTTCCATTCCCCAGCACTGCAAAGAAAATACAGGCACACATGGATGCACACACACAGAGAACTGTAGTCTGCTGACTTAGCTCTTGTAATCCCTTCGAAGAGTGTTCAGATCAGGTATACATGACTTTCTTGGGGTTCCACATGACACGAGATGCCCCCAGCCAGGAGGGAACACTTGACACCCACATGCTGGTGGTATCTGGGCCAGGCTGTCTCCCACTGTGCCCTGGCCGGAACACACCCAAGGCTTTGGATCTAACAGACCCGGAAGTGCAGGTCCGGGGCCGGGGTATTGCTTGGTGGTAGAGTGTCCCTGGGTTCGATCCCTAGCACCACCAGGAAAAAAGTATGGAATTCCACAGTGGTATGGCCCGTAACCCTGCCACTCTGGGTGGCTGAAGCAGGAGGATCACAAATTCAAGCCCAGTGTGGATAACTTAGCAAGACACTGTCTCAAAAAACAAAAAGCTGCGGATGGAGCTCAGTGCAAAGGCCCTGGGTTCTACCCCATTATCAGTGCACACACACAAAAAAAAGTGGAAGAGAGGGAGCCCCTCAAGTGAGGAGCTGAGGATCTCAGCCCGGGTGGGAATCCTCCAGGGCCTCACCTCCCACCTTCCCTGCAGACCTGGCCCCTGGAATCGACGAGATCTATGAGGAGAGCCAGCAGGTGTTCCTGGCCCCCGGGCACCCGCAGGATGGACAAGTGGTCTTCTACACGGTGAGCAGGCCTTTGTCCAGCACTGTTGCCCACCCAGCCACCCACCTGCCTGCTAACACCCTGTGTCCTGGCAGATCACTGTGGACCGTGGCCTGAAGTGGGAAGAGGCCTTTGCCAAATCGCTGGGGCTTACAGGTCCCTATGATGGCTTCTACCTGTCCTATAAGGTGTGTCTCAGCCTGCCCCCCACTCTGGGTGACACCCTAAGGGGTGGGTGGGGGCGCGGTATCCTGCCCTGTGACCCTGGTGGGCCAGCCTCACACTCCCCTCCCCAGGTGCGGGGCAACAAGCTGAGCTGCCTGCTGGCCGAGCAGGGCCGTGGCAAGCACTTCACGGTGTACAAGCCCAACATCGGCCGTCAGAGCCAGCCGGAGACACTGGACAGCTTATGCCGCAAGTTCCAGCAGGTATGGCCGGCTCCCTGGGGCACGTTGCCCTCGGGCCGCGGGGCTCGGCTCACCTCAGGCTGCATCCCCAGGTCACCGCGGAGGAAGCACAGGAGCACTGGGAGAGCAGCTACGCCTACTCGCTGACGCACTGCAGCCACATGGCTTGGTGAGCTCCTCGGAGGGCGGGGACTGGGTAGAGGAACCCTAAGGAGGCCGCAGCAGGGAGAGCCCGTGCCAGAGTCGGCACCGACCCGTGCACTGGACCCACAGGAACCAGCACTGCCGGCTGACGCAGGAGGGCAAGGACTGCGTGCAGGGCCTGCGGCTGCGGCACCACTACGTGCTGTGTGGTGCCCTGCTGCGCGTGTGGGGCCGCGTGGCCTCGGTCATGGCTGACATCAGCAGCAGCAGCTACCTGCAGATCGTGCGCCTCAAGACTAAGGACAAGAAGAAGCAAGTGGGTGAGTGGGCAGCCGAGGGGGCTGCCAGGGTACAGGCCCTCGGGGAGGAGGAACCTGACCTCAGCCTTCACCCACAGGCATCAAGATCCCGGAGGGCTGCGTGCCCCGCGTGCTGCAGGAGCTGCGGCAGATGGATGCGGAGGTGCA